ACATTTCGAACTTACTCAGGATCTTTCTTCATGAAAACTCCAACATATGGCTGACGCATCCGTACTTTCCTTCTCAATAATTCTTTTAGTACTTGATCTCTAGCAATCTTAATGAAGTTCCATTATTTCCAAGACCATCAGAACAATGACTTTCTGTGCTGTTAAAATGTTAACTGTGCTACAAGCATTTAAAGCATATTTTCTCTCAAGATTGCTAATTTAATTTCACCTAAATATAATTTTTATTTCAGTGCCACGACAGCAAGAAATCAGAGAAGCAAATCTTGCAGTGAAACAATTAATTCATACTGTTTCTCGTTTTATAGAATTTCTTAAACTGCAGATATCTTAAGAACTTTGTAAAAAAATGTGAAAATATTTCGTAAAAAGTTGAAATGCGCTTACAGTAACCCGTGTAATAAAGCCAGGAAAGAGTGGTTTTCTTGAGATCGCAATAACTGGTACAATAGGCCACACTTCCGGAATAGTTATCGTACTCATCGGCTAAAAAAATAGCTTTCTCAAAACTAGTTCGGATTTTCTGTAAACTATTTGCATAAAGATTAAAGATAAACTGACTTACTCCTCCTAGCATATCTTCAACTTGCTCCACGATCGCCGTATCTTTATCTTTCGTATCATTCGGGATTTTATCATCATCGTCTCTTCCATTTTCATGCGGACTAAAAAGAAAACAAAACTGACAGAATAACAGCTATAACACAATTATAATGGTCAATAATGACAATTTTAGACGTGCTTCTCAGTTTTTTCTCCTCAAATAATTTTGTTAAATCAAAAGATCTAACAAACAAATTTTAAGCACTATTCAATTTACTTGCTGTAAAACCGAAGAGATGCAACAGTTGATGATCGATCTCCGGAAAAGACTAAAAGCCGTCGTCTTGAAGAGTCATAGCTTTTCGATATTGCAACATGATAAGATTGAACCGAAAGAGGCCTTAATTGTTGGAAGAAATGTCTATTTCGTTCGAAATTTCTCAAACGTCGACAAATCGTTTGCAATGATAGACGCATATATATTCTGCAACGATAAATCACTTTTCAATTAGTGCTGCTTATAAAACATATTTTACTGAGCTAAAACTTTGAAATTCCAGATAAAGATCTTTAATAATTCTGTTTGAAACAAAGTAAAACAGCCTTCATGCGACATTCGATGATCTTCCACCAGAACAAAATTATTCATTGAATTTCTTCCAATAAAGAAATGTATCATGATAAAGCCGTAGAAATGTGACGATTTCAAGACATCAGATTTCTAGTCAAAATCAGGCTACTATACCGATACTTCACGCGCAATTTTTAGCTTTTTTTTGTGGGTTGCATAATATCGAAGTAAATCGATCTTAAGAATAAGTATATGAAGCCAAAGATTAGGCTTTATTAAACAAGCACAAAATCAAACGAAGTGAATTTTATTCATTGTCTCTTCATAAACAGAACGAATAAAATAGAATCCAGTACAAAAATAGACACGAAACGAAAACAAAACAAAAAATAAGTGCAAAAAAATTTTGTAGAAAAGATAACCACAAAATTATCATTTCATTATTTCGTCTTCTTTTTCTCTTTTGATGGAACATTCGCAGACGATGGTGAAATCGTTTGAACGGGCTGCCACTGCAAATTGGTTGATATAAATTGAAAATGAAAAATTTGAAAGAATAGGTAAAGTGAGAAACAAAATATTTGGAAAATAAGAAAACTCCTTTCAAAATTTTTATGATTATGGAAAAAATTTGAAACTTGAAAAATTAAACTGACACACAGTTCCATTATATATCGTGGATGTGAGTGAAAGACAATACTTACATGTATTGGATTACGTCGCAAATATGGCCAAGGCGGTACAACGAGAATACATGATAGAATAAAACCACTGCATAACGTATAAATGGCATATGATAATTGTTGAGTAACATAACCAATACCATAACCAATCACTGCCGTTAGCACCAATATTACCTATAAATAATAATTTAAAAAAGTTTTACCAAATTTGAAATTGTCAAAGATGAAAATTCAAAAATTTTAGCGATCGAATTTACAAATTATATTTGAAGATTAAACATTACTAAAATTATCACGTAACTAAATATAAAGATATTTTCAAATGATTCTAGCAAGCTGACTTCTTTCAATTACATTACTTCCATTACAATCTTTTTATTACCATAAATGTATGACATTAAAAAAAATTGAGCAAATTAAGGAATCACTAAATTCTAGGCCTTGCTACGAACTGCATGAAATTCTTTAACAAATTGCAAAGAAACTTCATCTAAATATTCCGATAAATGGATAAATGCTCTTTCTCTGAGCTATGAGGAATCGTAAAGATCTTTCATTGAATAAAACTATTATTGAACACATTACTTGGAAAATTCGTTCCGCTTTCCGTTGTCCAACAAAATCAATATATGTAGAAAATTTTCTTAATGGCGGCGGTAACGTTTGTATGAGTCCATCCATTTTTCCACCACCTTAAATTTATATATCACTAATCTATTTTCGCCGCATTTGCACTGGGCTCAGTATAAAAATTGAAATAACAGTGGCAAAACAAATCAAATCGATACATCTATTTCCACATTTAATTTAGAAATCGTCTAATCATAACAAAGGTGTAAAAGCAACATTGTTATTATCATCATTAATGATAAATACTTCGAACAAGAATCTGATGATATACAAAAAGTAAAAAATACGAGATAATAAAACGATAAGAAAGTTAAGCATGACATTCCAAAATACAGTAATACAGTAATATAGTAAATGTAAATGAAAGTTAACATTGCAAAAGATAGGAAAAGAAATAAAGATTGCAAAGTGATTGGAAGAAGTTATCCCGTATAATCTTTATTAAAAGTATCCCAAAACCTAAGTGGATTTTCAACGGCCAAATCCTTTATCAGCTTCCTTTCCACCTTCAATTACTGTCTTCTTCATTTATAATAAAATCAGAAACTTTGATTTCTTGGAAAGAAAACGAACAAGTTCCAAAGACGGTTGAAAATTATTCAGAAAAGATCTGTTTACATATATCAACAATATTCAATCAGTGATTTAGTCAATTACTGCAGGGAATCTCGAGAAAAATTTTAAATCTCAACAAAGTCAGAAATTCAATAATCACCATAGCTGTCCGAAGTTTGGCAGTTGTAAAATTCGCATTGTTTCCATCCATCACGCGACGGTTGTTTGGATTAATTCGATTACGTGGCACGTGTTCTTACGTTATTGGGGGCGGCGTGATGTTTGTTTTTTTCGAGTATTTCATTTATGTGAAGAAGTTACATGCATTTATATATTGTATGAAGAGGTATTTCGTATAATTTTGAGTTTTTTCCTCTCTTTGGGATTTGATTATGTTTAAGCTGTAAAAAAACTGTGTTAAAAAATTGTATTTTTTGTCTAATTTTTTAAAAAAACTAAATTTATAATGCAGTTATATTTTTCTGGAGACTTGTTAGCTAATGTCTGGGAACGACGAAGAGAATGGTTCGGAAGATGATGAAGAATATATACCCTCGGATCCCGACGAGGATATCGATGATGAACAGCATGAAAATAGCGGAAGCAGTGCTGGTGATGACGATGCGATAAACAGTAATCTAATGACAGCATTACATAAATCAAAGCAAGCAATTAAGATTTTAATTAACTTTTGATGTTGTAAATGATATCTCGACCGGTAGCTAATGTTTTTCCTTTTTCCTTTTCATTGAACCATCCACGGATATCCCAATGATTCAGATAATTCTAATAAAATTTATAATATCCCACTTTTCTATTTTTCAATTACGTTTACTTCTCGTTCTCTATTCTTCCATTTGTTATATTTTTTTTCTTGCTATCATCTTTAGCACCGCGAATAACTATGAAGTTAACTTCCATAATTTAAGTTAGTAGGAATAGCCAAATCTATCTTGAAAAAGTTTTCTATAAGTTACTATTTCAAGAGGGACAAATAAATCAGAGGAAACGGAAGATGAGCGACAGCAAAGATTGAAATCATTATTTGAGGATTTCATCGGAGAAAACGATGCTAAACCAAAATCATCAACTAGTCAAGCACTACCCACGTAAGATTCTTAGAAGTTAATTCAACTTGAAAAATTCGTTGTACGATAGAAATAAATTACAATTTGTTATTTTTATATTCAAGTGTTTGAAATTTAGTTCGACCGTCGATGGTAAACATGTATCGAAAATTATGAGTGAAATTCCGAAATTAGCAGCAGAAACGGCTGACGATATTTTCGGTGGCGTATCGAATGAGAGCCATGTTTTGTATGTTTTATTTTAGAATGTTAATTTTATGACGATCGATTTAAATGAAGTAGCTACAATCTTGATTAACTTGAAGAGAACCATATGTTTTGGATTCTAGTTGGGATCTCATGGCTCCAGGAATATAGTAGTGGATGTAAATCTTCATTATCTTGACATCATTTGATTTATTTTAATAATATCGAAATTTTATTCACAATTTAAACATTTCATTATTTTATTTTTAATTCCAGATTGAAAAACAGACCAGAACCTTGTCAAAGAGAAAAGAAGCCATCTGGGCTGGCACATCGTGAAAAGTTAGTGGTTACAAATAAAATAAGATAAAGGACATCTTAAAAAGTTAAATCTCATTATTAATAAACATTTAGGAAAAGGGCTTTGGATGGATTATCAAGCGCAATTAGTGCCTTATCGAAGAAATCAAAAATCAGTGTACTAGAAAAAACAGCACAGGATTGGGGAGCTTTCAAAACGGAAACAGGAATTCAGGTTTCGCTTCATTATTTGACTTTTTTATGGATTGCATTTACCAAGAATATTGGGTTGCGTCCTCCATTTTTGAATTTTGTTCGGTTTTAATTTTATCGAATGAAATTTTCTCAATTCCATACTGACTTTAGAGGGTGTCGCGGAGGAATAAATATATTTAAAGCTCAGTTTGCCGCTAATTTAAAATTATAGGAAGAATTAACCAGTCATAACCGAGGAAAGCAAGGCTATGTTGATCGTGTGGAGTTTTTATCTCGAACGGATTATCGGCAGTTTGAAATCGAACGTGATGCTCGAAATGCTGCTCGTAAGAAATAATTTGCCCCGCCGTACATAGGCTTTAGTTAAGATTCATCACAGGTTTTTGTGATCTCATGAGCGAGGAAAGCAATCAACCTCCACAGCTTGGGTAGCAACAATATTTTGGAGTTGACCTGTTTGTTGATATTCGGATCGTCACCATTGTTTATGATATAGGTCCTGAATTAGCAGTTGCAAATGAAAAAGAAATGACTTCATGAATTGCTTTTCCTTTTAGTTTATTTGGGATATTATGAGGCCAAGATGATTGCTATCCATAATTATCGTTGTTTACATTATTTATTATTTATAAAAACTTAGCTTTTGAATCTTCCAAATTACTTTTATCTGTTAAACTGCACATCAATAAAGCTAAGGGTATGCACTTTGTCTTATTTTCATTTCAGAGAAGTCTTTCCTATTTCTTTTCGAAACTTATCAGTTTACGACTTTCGTATTATCATTTAGTACAGCCTGGTTACTGCATATCAATTATGATTTATCATATTTGACGCTAATTCTAATTTATTAAGAAATACTCGTTTTTTTTCTTTTTGCATAAAACACCCATATATTTCTGACTGGTAAGAACGATCGATGGGTCAAGAATGTTTGATCACAAGTGTTAAGGTTTTCGCACGATTATTAATGAGCAAAACGAGTGGAATGGACCTATAACAAAAAAAATTTGCAAGCGATAAACATTTCTAATTTTCAAGTTACTTTTAAGCAAAACAAAAGCTGTAATACATTGATAAATTTTAATAAGAAATAACACAATGAACATTTTAGAAGACGAAATGAAATAAAGTGCTTGAGAGAGAGAGATAGATGCATTGTATTCTTAAAATAAATGCGCTAAAGAGGGAGAGCGAAGTAAAGGAGAGTATCAAAGCAAAGAATTTTAACAAACGAAAGTTATAATTAAAAACAACTTTTTCCTGTTAAATAGGATGAAGAGACTATACGAAAAATGAGAGAAAAAAAGAAAAAAAAATTAGCAATTGAAAGGAATTTTTCCCTGTTTTTAGTTTTGACAGAGCACACATAAAGCGAGGCTTTTGATAAAAGTTTTGCAAATACTTTCACAATAAAATCGAACCATTCATTCATCAATTTGCTCAATTTTATTTTTTTAGATCTGTCAAGCTTTTCACATTCTTGTAATGATTGCGTAGCCATATCCAACTTTATTCTAATTCGGTTTCACATGCGTCTCAAATTCTTGGCGTACTGCTGAAAAATCAGACTTATTCCCTCTATTAATTTTTATATTGAGATAGATTTTCTGACTATTTCAAAATTTTCACTAAAACCTTAGGATGTTTCTTTTTCAGTCAACAAAGCAGCTCATATTATGGATACAGCAATAAATGAAATGGTAACTGGTACTATTTTCTTCATAACCACCAGCAGAATGGTCAGTAAAGCAGTTGCTATTATAACTACAACTACGGTATGGTAATCCCAATGTTGATTTTCGATCTCTAATATTTTCTAAAATATTTTCATTTTTTAAATAATTTAAAAGACTGCTCTAGATATGAATGCTTCGTTGTTTCAGTTTTTTCCTTTAATTTGAACAATAAAAGCAAAGAAAAAGAAGGATAAAAGTATTAATAAATGAATGAAAAAGAAAAAACAGACCATCAAGCTTATCTGTCAATTTTTCGGTTACGCGACCCATTTGTTTCTCAAGAGCTGACTGATGCTTCTGCACGATTGATTGTATAAAGCGGTAGTAAATTTTCTGCGCACCCCTGGTCATTGGCAAATACAAATATAGCAGAAAGACACACTGAAATAAAGCAAACGTCTATTTTATTCAAACTAGCTAAGAAATAACACAGATATCTTCCAGCATTTCATTCTCATTCAGCGTTTCAATTTCTACTTTAAAGAAACGTTGAAAAATGTAAATATATGCTTGCTGGATCAATAAACTGAACGCTAAGATTAACTGTGGTATGATATTTTTGTTGAAATTATAATCCTCATTGAATTATCGCTTACAATATTGACCGTAAGTGAATTTGAAAGTAATACTGCTCCAATATCATGGTATGGCATTAAAAGTACAATTAAAAAAATATCGACCGGAAATGTATGTTGTATTAAGATTATTATTATTCGATATATTAAAGAAAAAGTTGTCATCTGCATTATAAAATTATATTTTCTGACTGAAGTTACCAATATGAATTGATATGATACCATTTTAGAACATAAAATTGATATCCACAAAAAGGTCAAATAGTCTTACGAACTAATCTAATATTCTTTTAATCTATAAAGAATATATGGAAGTTCATTATAGTGACCGCTAACAATCTGCTCAAAAGATTTATTTTTGATTGGTATAAACATCGGCTTTTATTAACTAAATATTCTGATTCCTTCCTTGCATTTCTCATTTTTTAAAATGTATTTCCTATCTGCTATCGGCAAAATATTTGATTTCTGCATTATAAGAGGAAAAAAACGGTATCCATATCAGGAAACCGCTGAGCAATAACTTGTATACTAAATATTAAAACCATAAATATACCTTAAGGAGCCAATAAAGCGGAAAATATACTATGAAAGTTTCCGAAAAGTATTCCACGATATTGAACAATGCAAAGATTATCCAATAGATTAACCATTGTGCGCCATCATCCTTATGAAAAGTTTCGATTGATCTGATTCTAAAAAATCAATTTGATGATACGTTCATTCATACTCCGCAACTGTTTGAATTCTTACATCTCTATATATATCAAAGAAAAATAGTTCAACATTAGGCCTCAGATGGCAGAAATTCAGCACTGAAGGTTATGGACGCGTTAGTGGAAAACGTTCCGATGTTGCAGATCAACTTCAACTATTGATATTTGCAGTGATAGTCGGATATATAATAAGTTCCATTTGTATATTTCGTATTTTGCACAACATGAAAATTACTTCCGTAAATTTTACTCACGTTTCACTTTTCGCCTCTAAATTAAGAAGAAACAAAAATAGAGATTCCTTATCGATTCCTACATGAATATTTGACTCCTTCCCTTCCAATCTATCTCATAAGCTCTTCCGTTCAATTTACTCGATTTCATTCTCTCTGTCAAGAAAGAAATAAGCAAATGCAATAAATCGTGAATAAGCCGAAAGGAAATTAAACGATCAAAATTACGGACAACATAAAATAAGAGCAGATTAAATGTGAATATTTGAAAACAACCCTATCCCTCTTTCGTCGGTCACCAAAAGCTTACATCCAATCACTCCAATAACTGAAGATTTGTTGCATCGAATGATGAAAAGATTGTTTTATCAAGCTGGCTCTCATCACTACTATCATTTCTCAATTTTAAACATTATCATTATCTTATTCATCCATAATCATCTGAATGCTGGATTTTCGAATGAAACAACAATTATCCAACTACTGGTTTTGTACAATTTAAATTTGAACTTTTTTCACAAATTTGTCTTTTAAAACAACTAGATATACTTACGAGACATAAGCCGGGTAGATAAAGCCAATAATATCACACAAAAGTTCAGCCAAAGATCCAAATATCAGATACAAGGCATGGATTACAACAAGACCTAAACAAAATTTTATGGTAAATATCATATCAACGGTGTATCACAAAGGTGATTTTAATTAATTTCAATACGAAAAAATATTTTAACGTTTTACTGCAATAAGACTGTTATGATCAGATAAAAACTACAGCAGAGAATCTATATCCAATGTTACTTTCATTATAAGTCGACTAAAGTCATCGTTGCCAAAACACACCAGAATCATCTATTTAAAGTCAGAAATGAAATTTGCATCAGTAAAGGAGAGAAAAAGAGATAAAAAAACATTTCGCTCACATGATGCGATTTATTCTAGTGAAACATAAGTTTTATTATTTTAGCATTTAATATGTTTCCTTTTTAACAACAATTTAAATCATACATCTATAAACTATCACATAATACAAATAGCTTTTAATATGCTTTTATCCGAAATATATAAACTAACCAAGCACAAGATGCAATCGCTTAATGCCTGCCTTCGCTTCGATTTGTGCCAACAAATTGGTCACAGAATTATCCTCATGTAATTTCTTATCCACATCTTGCAATAATTTGTCGACCGCAGGTGGAAGCGGCATTTTTATTCACCTTATAACTCAGTATCGAACCACTTAAGAACTATAGTTTATTCTGAAAAAGATTTCAAAAGTCTGTTTAAAAAAGTGCATGACACAATGAACAAATAACAATGCACAGTAGTAAATGATAGATATCATAAATGTTAAATTACAAGATAGTTGCAAATAACGACCAAAGGACAAGTATGCTTCGATGGATATAGTTAAGTAATTGTGAAATTACTCAACTATATCCATCGAAGAAAGAATTATGATATTATTAATCGTTCATAATCCTCGTTATATAAAACTATACAATAATAAAATGGACTAAATTGGAATGAACCAAAAAAAAGGACAAAAGAGAGGATACAATGATAGTTCTTCAGGATTTCTTGAAAACAACTACGCAATATACAACATTAGAAAATAATGGAACGGCCTAGAATGAATTTGTCCGGCAGCTGTTTAAAATGAAAAATAAATAAAGTTATGTCTCCTTCATCAACTATATGCGTTTATAATAATTAGCAGTCACTGCACTAATATTTTGTAATCGACATCACACATTCACACATACACACACACACACACACACACACA